TTTTTACCCCTCACCTTCTCTTCTAGGGTTTGTCGTATCAATACCTATCATATTAGCCACTTACTTTTTTTTTACACAAAGCCCTGGTGAGTATCAAAAATATTATTTCTATACACAACTTACTTGCGAGTTATATGGTTTGCCATTACAGGTATTCTCAAATTTACCCTTTTCATGACTTTTGATAAATAGGTTACTGAAAATATATGTTTATGGCCTATTCAATCTTGTGATGCAGATCCAGGAAGTACACAACCAAAGCTGGTTTTTTTGTTTCCTTTAAAGAATCACCAAAGCTGGGTTTTTTTTATCCAAAATAGAATCGCCAGAGCTGGTTTGGACACCAATTATTCCTGGACTGTGTGAAGTATTAGTTTTTTTCTTTTGTTTTGATTAAATAGAGGTTTGAACCTAGGATCTCTACCCTCTGCCCAACCGTCCCATCTGACTTGAGTTAAGGCTCATGGGCCAGTATTTAAGTTAAATCAAGGAAAAGAAAACCTACGAGAGTTACCTGCGCTCCCTCTCAGCAATGGTATGTTCTAAAATCACATTGTAAGACAAGTCCATCGTCGAAGGGGCCGCCAGATAGTCCTGCCAAACATAATAGTTTAACTTGTGAAATCTGAAATTGAATCTAACGCAAGTTCGTCAAATAAGAGCATAGCAATGCACTACAAAAAAAAAAAAAAAAAAACAATTATCTCAGTCATACATCAGATACACACAAGCGTGGTAGCTGAATAATTGCAAACATCCAGAAGAGGAATAAAGGTGGGATATAATTACACAAGGAAGCTTATGTTCTACACGTGTTAACTCTACTTCAAGCCAGGACAGCCAGAGAAATCTAAACGCACTCCATAGCCAATAAATTTGAAAACCAGCAATAAAATACTTTCTCCAAATATGTATAATTAAAGATAGAACCACTCGGATGAGCAACAGTTTTGAACGCCAACTAAGAAACTAATTTATTGTAATTGTCAGATTTATTCAGCCACTTGTAAATTTGTATAAAGAGCTTATATCACCTTGCATATAACTGTTCTAAGCCATTAGATTGTTAGGTGCTCACTGTTGCTCACCTGAGCAGGACTGTAATTAAAGAAGCATTTTTCAAATTTTGAAATTAAATATAATGAAGTAATCCAAGCAAGGACTTTTTAATTTAAAACCAATCACATGAGTAGGGAAACCACATTAAATACTCCCTCCAATACAAACTCAAAAAGAACACACACACACACACACTAAGAATAACCATTTCAGCACTCGTGCTCTGTTTGTTGCTAAGAAAATGTAGCAAGCTAAAACCATCCTTGCATTTCATCTTCAATGTGTATAAGTTTGCACTACCTAAAGACAAAACCTTACACTCACTAAACCAAACACATCCATTGGGCTACCATTCAGCTTAATTGTCTATCTTTAAAGCCATAAAACTCAGTAATCACTTTCTTTCTTTACTAACAAAGAATATCTACTTCTTTTCTTTCCTAGTGTTCTTCTCGGCAACCAAACAGAGTTCAAATCTCAAGTTCATTCAAAATCCATCATTTTAAAGACAAATCACACACACACAAGCTGAAAGATCTAAATTCCTCAGCCGAAACCGGCATTTCAAAGATCCAAACCGAGCAAAATCACAACCCAAAATTGTACGAACCCGAAGAATTCTAGAAGCTTCGGAGAGGAGCACAGTGGAGGATGTGCTGGCATGGTGGGAGCTAGCCGCGGAGGACGATAGGCAATCGGCTACAGCTCGGCGCAGCGGCTCAGGCGGCTTCTTCAGCGACGAAGATCTCAACCTGGCGACTCCTCCACCTCCACCACCCAACTGAAGCCTCGAACTCCCGGGGCTCCGAGCCGGACTGTTATAGCCCGAAGACATGGGTGCTCGGGTCGTCGGGTGCCACCGAATCTCTCTCTCTCTCTCTCTCTCTCTCTCTTTCTATCTGATAAATCTCACTCCCTTTTCTGCGTTGGCAGATTGTACGGTGGAAGAGAAGAAAGCCTTCGTTCTTGTTTCTCTCTGCGAGCTCAACTCTACATTTGAGCAATCGAAAATAATAATAAAAACTGCGTTGTGCTTGAAATGAAACCAAGTCTGCGAAAGAGAGACAGAGATTGGGAAAATGATTTTTTTTTTATTTTTTTTTATGGAGATTCTTAAATTGCGGTCTAATGGTGGTGATTAGCTGGAGGAATTGGCGTAGTTTTATGAGGGTGATTAGCTGGCATGCGCTAGAATTTGTCACTTTTATGTGGGAAAAGGGACATTTGGGAATAAAATGGGGGGCTGAGTGGGAAGTGAGACTGTGATTTTTTAAGTGTTTTTTTGGGTTTTTTTTTATTTTTTTTAACAAATCAATATGATGTATGAAGAAGAGAATTGAACTTGAATGCAAGAAAACTGGCACAGTATCTTGATTAACCGGTTTAATTCTTTTCTTTATTTTTAGTTAGGTCTTGTAACTTGAGTGCAATATGATGTCAAGTTTGGAATATATATATATTTGTAAAGTCGGGGATAAATATCCATAAAAACTTATATAAAACGGGAATAACACTGTTTTGTGACCAATCATAGAATGTCATGTAAAAAAATAATTACGCATGACATTTCGGATTGGCCGAATATAGCAAAATAATGTTATCCCCATTTTATGTAAGTGTTTCTCGTAAACAACCTAGAACAAAAGAATTTGGATTTGATTTTGATGGTACTGACTGCTGGAATTTCCCATATAGAAATATATGGTTAGATTTTTTGTGAGTTCCTTATTAGATATGGATTTCTAAATTTGCAACGCATTCCAAGAAAACATCACGTCCATCCTGAGTAATTCAGATTTTTAGTATGCAAGTAAATTATAGTAAATGCCTTCAATTAAGGAAACAAATAGTGCCACCACTAAGAGGAGTGGAAAATTGCATACAATGCTGTTTTTCAAATCCTTAAAGAAAGTTTTATTTTTCCAAGTTTAGGTAAACCTCTAGTGAGATTACTTCTCTGTCTGATGAGCCTGTCCCTCTGGATGCTAGTTTGATTTTGTCTTTCATCTTTGTTGTATGTTACTTGTTTTCCTGCCACGATGTTGATCTGCTTTGCGTGGTTAGTTGTTGATTTCGCGTTAATCAAATAAGTTTAAGGGTCAAAACAAAAAAGTCGGATGTTATTATTATTGTTTATTTTACAAGACATACGAGTAGGAACTCGATTTAGTTAATAAAATATGGATTGGGACTTTCAATTTATAATCGATTATGATTTGAATTCGCTAACTCGATAACTTAACAAATCAAATACCTCTAGACAAGCAGAAAAGGCCTTGACCCGCAGATCAATAGCCTAATGTTTGAATTCCTTGACACTTTGACAATGTTTGTGTAAAAATCATCCTCTCTAATATTTCTTGTATTAAAAAAAAATTTAATAAAGTATATTCGACTGGATAACCATCTTTTTATATATTATTTTATAAATATTACAAGAAAAGTTTGGGAGGTCTACATAGGACGACTTCCACACATAAATTGTAAGACAAAAGCAGAAAACTGAGCATGTTGGGCCAAGCGGACCATCCCAGATTTATTAAAATCTTCAACTCCACGACCCGTATTGGCCCAAAATGTCCAATATCCCCACCCGACTCGACCCATTATCTACAGTTTCGATCTCATGCCAGTACCGTTATCCCCTCGGATCTCATCTAAAACCTCAGACAACAAGTCCATGCGAATCTGAGCGTACGCGTGTCCATTCCACTTCCGCCCGACCAGCTCCTCCCCCAATCTCACCGCGGCCTCAATCGTCTCCTCCGCGCTATCGTGCGCCGAGTCGATAATCCCCTTCTTCACTGCCACGTCAGCCGTCACCTTATCGGCTCTGAGCAACAGGTCGCGCCGAGCCCTTGGCGAGCCGACCTTGCTCTCGATCAGAGCCAAGAACCAAGCCGGCAAAATGAGCTCGATGTCGAGCTCGCTCATGTAGATGAAGCCGCGGTCTCGCCTCATGAGGAGGTGGTCGTGGCTGAGAGCGAGGATGAAACCGGCGGCGGAAGCGTGGCCTGATACGGCGGCGATGGTGGGCACGGGGAGCGAGATGAAGTCGGAGACGAGGGACCGGAGCTTGGCGTCCATGAGGTAGGTCCGGGATTGGAATGACTGGGCCCAGGAGAGATCGTAGCCGTTGGAGAAGAACTTGCCATGTGCGGTGGTGATTAAGGCTGCCGGTGACGACGATGCGGAGGTGGGGGTCACGGCGGCCCGGACTTGGGTTAGTGCGGATTGGATTGAGTCGATGAGAGTGGGGTTGAGCCTGTGCTCGCCCGGGCCTGTTAGCGTCAGGATGAAGATGTTGCCTTTTCTCTCTAACGTGCACATCTCTCTCTCTCTCTCTCTTCTCTCGCTCTCTCAGAAATTGGTTGTATTGTAGTGTCTGAAATTTCAAAGGTCGATGGAATATTCAAAGTTCCGGGCTTGTATTGCAGTCTTTGAAAATGGTTGTATCTCTTCGTCGCATTGACTGGTCAATTGAAGCTGCAGTTGAGCGTGACTTCTTTTTTTTTTTTTTTAAATGCCACGAGAGTCTCCACACCCGAAAGATGAGATTAATTTCCGCTCAAGGTTCGGCTTGTCCCTAGTCACAAAGTGTTTCAAATCCCTACTATTCAGGCACTAGATAGCTCACCAACTGGAGGTAGCAATTTGCCAACGACACCTCACCTTGTGGTTAGTTGAGAGCAACTTTAAACTAGTCTTTTACTTTTCTTTCTGCCATGAAAATATGATGAAATTTTCATTCAAAAGCCCAAGCAACAGCCCAGCAACTTATGTTGAAGGCCAAATTTCCAACTCCAATGGCCAAGACTAATACTACTGTAGAAACTCAGATTGGTTAAGAAAATCATCTCGCACATTATATCATATGACGGATTTTGAAGGAAGAGATATCCTACATCAACTACAAAAGAATGTATGTGAGAAGAGACATATGGCTGAAATTTAGAATATAGATAGATCCATAATTGCTGTAGCACAACTTGAGAAGCAAATCCTACAAATGAGACCTCTACCCATTAGGTGGTCAATACTTACGGATGCCATGACGACCACATATCAAGGCAGAAGAAGGGCACTCATAAGCTTGATGACCCCTTCCACCACAGTTGTTGCAGATGACAATGGATACGCACTCTCGGATCGCATGGCCTGGCAGCCCACAATTACAGCACATAATGTCGTGGAAAGGGCCTCCAATGTCTGATGCCCGGTTTGACTTGGCGCACTGGCGGGCAATGTGACCTGCTATGTTGCAGGTGTGACAAACAGGTTCGTTGGGGCAGTTGCGAGCAAGGTGACCAGGTTTCCGACAATTGTTACAAGCCTTCTCATTTGTGCAATCCACTGCAATATGACCTGGCTTGTAACAGTTGTTGCAGAGTCTGGCATCATGGGCTGGAAGACTAGGGTTCGCGCAATCCCGAGCCAGGTGCCCTATCTTACCACACATATGACAGACTGGATCATTTGAGCATTGGCTTGCAAGATGCCCAGGCTCCTTACAGTTCCAGCACATAGTTATTGAGTTGCATTCAGCAGCAAGGTGGCTGATACAATATATAGGACTTGAAAATCAAAAACACTTACCGCAAAAAAAAAAAAAAAAGCAAAAAAAAAGACAGAACTATTAGTAATTGGTTATCAGGATTTGCCGTTCTCCATGCTTACCTATTTTCTACAATTCTAAACCTTACATGAAAAATGAAAGGTTTGGCAGAAATTAAACATTCTCACCCAGGAAGTCCACAGTTGTTGCAGACAGTTATATTCGAACAATCCCTGGCAAAATGCCCTGGCCGTTTACATTTATTGCAAAGATAATCTTGCCTGGACAACAACAGAATAATCAATTGTGATATGAAACTAAAGATGAAGTAGCAATGGACTATCTCAGTTTTAACAAAATTATGGAGTTCAAATATCAAGAAATCAAAGTTCGGGTGCGATATATGAAAACTGTGATTCATTAGCAATCAAATTTTTATAATAAGAGCATTAAGAAAACGCATGCTCAAAAAGTAAGCACACTAAAAACAAAATATTAGAACGCTAAATGGGATAGGATACCGATGACTGCGGCGCTCTCTAGGATATGGGGCATCCCGGTAAGATGCGCATTCACTGCTGCGGAACCTCTTGCCTCGTTCTGGGCTTTGGCTTCTATTCAGACTCATGTTAGAGATCACCAAGTAAACCTTCAAGGAAATATCTTAACAATATCTTTTTCTAGGAAGAAAAGAATCCAAAACAAGCCCCAGCTCCCGAAAGCAGCAACCCCCTGCCCAACGAATCTCCAAACTGCTAATACAACCACAATAAAATAACTACAAGAAACCAGGACCATTCACAATCATTCCAATCTGGATTCTAACAAAATTCTAAGTTCTGACCAACAGGGTTTATACTCAAACTAACAAGCGTATGAATCTCAACCTTCAAACTTCATTTTACAATATACCAACACCTTCAAATTCGAAAGTTTACCTGAAGCCATAAATAAATAAATTTAAAAATAAAAAAACTCTAATCACAGCACCATCAAAGGAGCTCTTTGTTTTCTTATTTCATCTCTGTCTGCTGTATTCCCAAGAACAAAAAGGAAGAGGAAACAAAGCATACTCTTAAATTCACTGGCAGAGCGATTTCTTCAAAACTCAAAACCAAATACACAAACACATGCAATATATGTCTAACGGAAGAGTAAGTACCTTAGTTCATGTCTAAGGGAAACCGCTAAAGTTGAGATGCAAATGAAGCAGAAGATGAGGAGGAAACCCTAGAGTAAAGGAATTGAGGATTTGGAAGCGGAGAGCAGCGCATTTATTTCTTCATTTCTCGACGAGGATGAGCGTGATTTGTACGACGGCACAGTTTACCTCCATGTGTACGTGTGTCGTAAGGCTGTGTTTGGAGTTGGTGTTTGCAAATTGCCACCTTTCCAGAGGCCAATAAATGTTATTTTTAAGTTTAAAATTATTTCATTGAATAAGCATGAAGTTTCTTTAAACTCTCAAAATTTTTATTGTAGAAAAAAACCCACTTTTATAGCCGTCAAATAAATAATGTTACTCATTTATGTTTTTTTTCTTTCTTAAAATGAACTTAAAGAGCAAATAACTTCTTCCCATTCTCCTTGCCTGCTGAATTTTTTAATTTTTTGCAAAGCTATGGGATAAAATAAGAAATTGAAAAGAAAATCTAAAATATGAAAAACCCGGAAATTTTTTTGGCAATTGGGTTGGGTGTGGTGAGTAGAAACATGGAGGATGATGAAAGACCCAAACAAATTATTTGGGCCTAGCGAACCGAACTAAATCATTCAGCAAAGAACCCCTTACAGTAGGAGGAGGAGGCTCTGAACATGCTATAAACTGCAGTTCCAGTTCAGTCTCATATCATTGAAAAGGACGGTAGCATGGGAGGTGGCAG